GTCAGGAGAAGAGTCCATTTGAAGCAAGAACCGCCGAACCTTCCTTATATTCCAGTACCTGATGGACATGGTGGCTATTATTGGATGCCAGCCACTGGCTACCCGCATCCTCCGCCTATGCATCCAAGTATGGGTCCATTCCCGGTACCACCACCCAATGCATCTGCAGCCTACTATCCACATACTGTACCGTCATTCTCACCGGGTACACAGTCGTCAGCATCTCCTATAGAAGCCGCGTTAGTCACGGGCATGTCTTCCTATCCCATGCATCCTATGGCGTCCTATGCGGCACCAGTACCTGAAACAGGCGGTGGTGGTGAAGCAATCGCAAATTGGTGTCCACCCTCTCCACCTAGCGGCCATTTACCATACGTTAGTGCTACGGCTGCTGTTACTGCTACTGTCGGTGGTGGTGCCATGAGCCATCCCATTCCTCCACCAATGATGTACCCACCTCCACCGCATCTATCGCAGGCACCCATCTCGCATCCTGACTCGGGCTACTGGATCGATCCTATAACGGGTATGTGCATTCCTGCTATGGCACCTGCTCCTGGTGCAGTATTCGATCCAAATATGCCACCGCCACCTCCTCATACTTCGGGCCATTTCACTTCATTTAACTATCCCTATCCCATGCCATATGGCGGTTACCCTAATCCCATGGCTCATACGCCAGCAGGTCCCATGCCCGTAACAATGTCATCACCAATGCCACCAATGGATATAGGCATCGTACACCCGATGGAGGAACACTGGACGACGATGCATCCACCAACAGCGGCATCCACGCTACCAAAATCGAAATTAAAGCGAGTGCTCCGGAATTCGTGCCTGGTCGACGATTGTCGTATAAGCAGCAGCAGCAACAACAACAACAGGAGTATACCGATAATAATCCACCGGCTTCCCTGCAAACACCACCCTTATCAGCTACCAAATCTGATTATAGTAGTAACAATGAATTGCCAATGGAATCGTAAAATCATAAGCACACGAATAGCGCGGGATCACAATATTTGGTTTCTTTTTGCAAAATCATTGTTTGTTTCGTTTCCTCTTCTTTCCTTTCCTTTGTCTATACGCAATCTGTCATCATCTAGAGTATTGTATTATTGTTTTATTATTAGTTTGCATGTAGACGAATAACAATACTGTATTCTAGATGCGTATAGCATAGCTTCCCTCGTTCTTTCCCCCTATTCCCGCTTCCTCTTTTCTTGTTCATCGATGGCATAATCTGCTCGCTTCTTTATCTCCATTGATCCATACACTAATCCATATCATCATTTACCCTGCTCTCTTTTTTGACACAGTCTATTATTACTTGTGTTATCTACCTGTATTTGAATAGTTTTTTGGCTTATTTCTTCTCGCTTTCATTGATTCCGTATTCTCCTTGGTATTTCGATTATTATGGTGTATAGCACAGTACATATACACTACATACACATACACATACATATACACATACATATAGAAATCATTTATCGAAAATAATATAAATAACAAACCACGCTATCCTGTAAAGCAACGTTATTGTTGCTCGATCTTTAGGATGGAGAATAGGATAATGATTTGTGTATTTGAAAGAATGCTTTACATTATATATGTTGTATATGTGCTCGTAGTGAGTGTGTGTGTGTGCTCGTATCAATATCTATAAACGATTTACTCTCTAGTTGCTCACTCCTTCTACCTCTCGTTCATCTCATCGCAATCAATCAATCTACATTAAAAATTGAAAAGCCCCATCTACCGTGTTCTAATTCATGTTAAATGTGTTTATATTGATTATTTACATACGTGCATGTGCATGTACATATATACGTGTGTCTGTATTTGTGTGTATACAATCATTGACTGCAAACTGAAGAGAAATGGATAAGCGTTACCAGATCAAATTGCTAATAACTCGCCAAATGACAATGTAAATGAGGATAATAAACAACATGGGCAAGTTCTCCAATAGCGTATTGCGCAAAGCAATAGGGCGTACTACTGTGTTGGCTGCCTGTTCAGCCGGTGTATCACCCTTCGCCATAGTACCGGTACTGTAGAAACGCGAGAGTAACTCGTCCTTTTCCATCCAACGAGCACGTAGCCAATGGGTGAAGGTATCGGTACCATCAATGGCCGGTACCTGTGTTGGAATGTGCCAGCGACGTACGTGCAAGTGAATACCTGGCGGCGATTTGCCAAGCATGTAAACCGAGCGAAGTGTATAAACTTGATTAGGATACGTGCCTGGTTCACGCCTTCAAAGCCAATGGTAATATCATATAAATAGTCGACATCTCCGTCTTGTAGCTCCTTTAGTATGTGCTGAATACCCGTGATACGCGGTAGCAAACAATGCTTGGGCAATGGTGTTGTCTAATATACATCATAATCAATTGATTAGCTCATTAAGATATTTGTAAATACAAATGATTACTTACAATCTGCTCCTTTTCCGCATAACGAATCATCGCTTCTCTAGTATTCTTGGTGTGAATGGTGCCTTCCGGAAGATAAGTACGGTCAATGGATCTTCTCGCTCCCAGTCAGACTTGAGCAATTGTACACGTCGTATAATTGATTCACGATCCACGTCCCAACGACGACGTAAAAAGACGAAATCAAGGAATTGCATGCCCTAATTACAGTCAATACATGAATATAAGCATGATACACGTATACACCTATGTATGTCTATATGATCATTATACTTACCCTAATAATAACAATATAATGTATAGTGTATTTGTATGATTAGCATTTGTATGACACAGTGTTAATGAACCTACCATCCAATGAAAGGCGCGTTCTTGAATCCATCTTTTAGGAATATCATTATAGAACCGTGAGCTTTAGCCAAATAAGCAAATATCCTATTTGCATTAGTGTTAGAATACACTGATGACATATATATGATTCATGAGCAGCAATAATGCAAATATGATACTTGCCAAACAAACACGAAATCAGGATACACCTAGTAAACGCAACATTAGTGGTGGTCAAACACGATCAACTTGCGGATAGCCCGCTTACCTGATGATTGGCAATAAGAACTAGACGCTTAGGTAAACGAAGATCGCCCCAAGTGCCTGAAGATGATCCAGATTCGAATAGTTCCTCGAGTGGCAAATCATCATCTGTCGTAAAATGAAAGGCAGTAGGTGCAAACCATTGATGCTCTAACACAAGATTACAGCCGAATATCTCCTTTGCGGTACGACGTCCCTCGCGTACTGCATTGAATGGGATATAATGACGTAGTGGTGTACGTATGAATGGTTGCAGCAGTAATATCATCATATTAATGGCAACAGGTCCTACAATAAGCCCGACGATGGCTCCAGCGGTTCTAAGCCAGCGTACATACTGATTACTGCTATGCTTGTCGAGTTGCTCAACCGACTGAGTAACGGGAGCGTGATCAGTGCTCGTGTCAGCAGTGGCAGTCGCATGAGACGTGGACGACGTTCGTTGTGTTAGTGAATCCGGTGAATCCATTGAAGGTTGCGCACTAGTAGTGACAGCAGCCTCCATACTCTGAGAGTGAGAAAAGACGAGAGAACAATAGAATAACAACAACAAGAAACGAAACGAAGTGAACGTTGCTTAGTAGGAATAGTACTGATAGGAGAAAGAGAGTCAATTATGATGGATATCGGTGAAAATGGCGTTCTTCCTATCTCGGTATAAACGTGGTATCGTGAGGCGTACTTGTGAATAATGGCGGCTTATTAAAGGCTTGGCCAATCATCGACCAGTATTGATAGGAATGAACAGGATTCGTAAAATCATATGACAATAAATAAAGCTTCGGTTAACGTAGATCGTAAAGTAACATACTCATTGTACAATATGCATTATACGTTCATAGCTGTCCATTTACTCGGTTGAACAGCTATTTATTCGTCAAAGCAATGAAATGGGCATTTTATTAGGTATTCGCTTTCATTTAGCTCATTTTATTATATACAATCTTTATACAATGGATTAATCATAGTAACAGAGCTCCAATTCCACTATTTTATTTGTATATGACTCTACACTTGATGGACAACTGATATATACACGTTTAATTACAAAAAACGGCGGTAATTTTCTCCTTAGTAAAATTTAATTTATAGAATAGCATGTCATAATAGCTCAAAATTTCTGTAACGCGGCAATTTGTTCTGCCTGAAATAATGTTACGATAGATTCGAGAGCTCGTGTTAAGATAAGACACTATGATAAGTTGAGAGAATTGTAGAGTAGAGGGTATTGTTCGATGAGTAAGTGTGTGATAAGATAATGTCTTTATTTCGTATAAATGTAAGTACGCTTATATAGCTAGAACAGCTATGAATGTAAAGAGGTACCAGCAGTAGATGTGAGTTTGCTACAGCGCATCTTTGCCGAGTTAGTCGAAGATGTACTAGTTCGCGTAGTACTTGTTGATGAGCGGGAAGCGTAGCATGGCGAATGCTACTTTATGTTGAATCGTCGGGTGGTTGTTGATTGTTTGTGTAAGGGAATAAGAGGCGAGTGGGTGATCGTTATAGATCCTGACGTAATAATGAGCAAGTGTATCATCACGTGATCAAATCTATTTTTTTTTTTTTCTTGTTAGAACATATTTGGCTACATGCCGTCTTTTATTATAAATGAATAAACCAGGGTTATAATAACAAACAATTTGACAAACAGCCCAATGCCCACGGAATGGAAATGTGTCTTGCGAGTGCAGACCACGGTTGTGTAGCAGAAAACCAACTAGCATATAGTCGGTAGGTTAATAAATGTCAACATTTCTGTTAACTAGTTAGAAATGATACCTTTTTCCCTATGACGGGATTGGCAGGAATCGAACCCAGGACCTATTCGTCCGAGAAATAGAGCGTAACCACTTGGCTACAACCCCATCCTCCACGTGATCAAATCTAGGTGGAGATTCGTTAAAGTGAGGAAATCCTACTGTGAAGTTCATATATCACAGGAGCGGATTACATTTCATCGAAGGGGGTTTAGCTCAGGGGTAGAGCAATCGGCTGCAGTCCGATAGGTCATCGGTTCAAATCCGGTAGCCCCCTTTGTTTTTGCTAAATTTTTATATATTTTTGTACAACATTGTGACGAGGAATCGCGCGACTGTTGAGGATTACTTACATTTTACTTTACAGGTAGAACATTTGAATAAAGCCATATTATACTATGCATATTTTATTCGTGATATATAGAGTGATAGAGTCATAGCATACTTGTCCATACATATCTGTGAATGCAATGATAGGATATAGAATCTGTGCACCACGTTTCTCGCTCTATTTGTTAGACCGCGTGTTTATACATTTACTTATGTCGATGGCCGAGCCATCTTTCTACTAGTTGTTTTTCTCGTCATTTTTTCATCTCGTTCAATAGCACCTTTTTATAATAATGCATCGATACATCGTAACGACAGCGGTGGTATGCTATCTTGCCATCACATCAGCGCCCAGTTGTATCGCTGCTCCCATGAATAATGTCAATCATGGAAGCAACAGGTATAAACATCCGCAACAGCAGACATTACCGAGCTTTGTGAACGAAGCTGATCATGGAAGCCACAAGTACGAGTTTACTAAACCACCGGTGCTGCGGGATCCTGTTGACGACGATGATCCTGGAAGCAACAAGCTTGAAATCAATAGACCGCCACCGCTTTCATTCCTCAATCCGGTACGGATACGCCTAGAACTAGTTATCTTAGAAGAAGCAAAGCTCAATTGGTAAAAAGTAGAGCTCTTCATTTGCATCACAATTACCACCGCCACCACCACACCACCACATGGAGATGAAAGCGAGATATATGCAATTAGAGCTGGTTATCTTAGAATGAGCAATGATCAATTGATGGGTAGAGCTTCTTCATTTGCATCGCAATTACCGCCACCATCACCACCGCCACATGGAGATGAAAGCGAGATGCTAGCAAGTAGAATAGCCGAGAAGAAGTTGCCTGAACTGAAAAAGTCAAAGTCAACCTTTTTCCAGTCTGTTACAAAACCATTCAAACTACGTGACATGTCCATGACATTAGGTAAAATGAAGAACAGGCTAAACATTTCAGGTCTAGGCAAGCAGCGAGCAAGTATGGATAGCACTGCTCCTTCATCATCAGCATCGTTACCACAATAATAGTAACAAGAAAGAAGGAGACATGAATGTGATTACACTACCGTTTTAAATAAAGCTTCCTATTCAAACATCAATAATGAATGTATAAACTTACTAGAATCTTTGTATACTAATTTATTTATTTATTATATCGTCACCTGCATCCTATTTTATTGCAATAAACTGTTTGTGCATAATAGTTATGATGATGCTGCCGCTGCAGCCTCTTCCGCAATGAATCGACTAATGACCAATCGTTGAATTTGACTGGTTCCTTCGTAGATTGTAAAGATCTTTGCATCTCGCATCAATTTCTCGACTGGATACTCCGTGTTGAAGCCATTGCCGCCGAATATTTGTACGGCATCGGCTGCTGATTTGTTGGCTACTTCGCTAGCCAATACTTTGGCAATGGATGCATAATACGTGTTACGCTGTCCGTTGTCGTACATCCATGTGGCACGCCATACCATCATACGTGCTGCCTCGATACCGATGCCCATATCGGCCAACATGAACTGAATGGCCTGGTGTGACATGATTGGTTTTCCCATAGTGTGGCGCTGTAGCGCATACTGTGCAGCTTCATCTTTGCAACGACGAGCGAGACCTACGGCACCGGCAGCCACCAATGGTCGCGTAATATCAAAGGCACCCATGGCTATTTTGAAGCCCTTACCTACTTGTCCTAATCTGTGAGTATATCATAATTAGTATTCGGGCCTCTGATATATTCTTACAACGAGGATAGAACGGTACTTACACATTCTCCTCTGGTACCTCGACATCCTCGAATGTAATACCGCGCGTATCGCTGGCACGTTGTCCCATGTTGATCTCCTTACGACCAACGGTGATGCCCGGTGAATCGGCATCAACGATGAAACCAGTGAATGCGTCGCCAGTTTTCGCGTTTGGATTGGTACGCGCTAGGACAAAGTACCAATTGGCCTTGCCACCGTTGGTGATCCACATCTTCTGTCCGTTAATAATCCAACGGTCGCCTTTCTTTTCGGCACGCGTCTTAGTGGCCGCAACATCCGAGCCAGATCCGGGTTCTGTCACGCCGTAAGCGCACATGAGCGGCTCTTCCGTCATACGACCGAGATACTTTTTCTTTTGCTCGTGGTTACCCGCTAGCACAACTGGTGCCTGAGCCAGGTTGTTGGCCTCGATAGCCGTCTGAATACCGGAGCATCCATAGGCTAGCTCTTCGGTAATTAAGCTGGAATCAAACGCGCCAAATCCTAAGCCACCATATTCTTGCGATATATGCGTATTGACGAGACCAAGCTCCCAGGCCTTCTTTATGATCTCCGTTGGGTATTCACCGGTAAGGTCGTGATGACGGGCCTTTGGGATAATCTCCTCGGCGGTAAACTTACGAGCCAAGTCTTGAATAGCCTGTTGGTCCTCGGTAAGGCTGAAGTTGAGTCCGCCTTCAGATGATGACGCGGCAGACTGGAATGCACGACGTGTGCCTACACTAGTAGCGGCAGCACGTAGAGTAGTATGGCGGAGTAAAGCAGGCAACATTTTGATAGAATAAACAATAGGAGAAATAAAACGCGAGTATCGTTGTTGTATTCTTTTTTAACAAGAGATTGAATATGTAGATGAACAAGGAATGAACAAACGATAGTGTGCGTGTGTGTGCTGTGTAACGAGGTCGTCTAGCTTGCGTTTGCTACTTTTAAATGTACGCGTCCATCCGATACATCTATTAGTGGATGGGAGTCTCGGCACGCGTCAAGCGACCGGCTCAAAGTTACCGTAATATCACGTGTTGTAAAGCATACGTATATGTATTAATGAGGAATAACAGCTACTCGTAGTTACTATACGTTTATTTAATACCAACTAACGTCATATTCTATCATGACAATGCATGCTTACAGCGTAGTTATATGTTCTTATTGAAATAGACATGTATAATCGTTACATTAATCAATGTAATTATTCGTCATGTAGCTATTAGAGTTTACTTTGTTGCGCTTTCTGTTGCAGTGCAAATGCCTGCGCTACAAACTTGGTGTGTCTACCCTGAGCAATAATCGTTTGATCCTTCTTAATATCGGTGGTTGTATAGGCCATCGCCTTACCCAGTCGAGTGCAAGTCGAGTCAATAGTAATGATGTCGCCTCGCTTTGCACTGGATAGATAGCTCACATTGAGATCGGTCGAGACACCTGTGGCGTAGCAACCGGCACTAGCAATGGCAAATGAGCTCACCGTAACAATAATGGTAGCAATAACACCGCCGTGTAAGTTGCCACTACCATTCTAATATCAATACAGGTATAGTTAGTGTCATTACATACACTATTGACATAATAGTTACCAGATGACATTCTTCAACCGGCATAGTAACAATGACATGACCCTTGTTAGCTGATTCGAGTTTAAGTCGTCCAAGAATGAGGTTATCGTATCCTTTTTCAGTCAATGTAAAGTAGGACTGAAAGCGTTTAACCACTTCGAATGGTGACAATTCCTCCATAGTACAAGTATAAACAGTTAGTAAGTTACAAGATACGATTCAATAACCAATATGAATAAGCAATGAATAAGGAGCTAGTTAGAATACAAGGACAATGCTATAGGTTGTACATACTATTATTATATACTATCACATATTTATTCAATAAATGACTGAATGACCTGAATACCTATAATATCTACTTGATAATGGCCCTGTCTTGTTTGCTTATTGATTAGGCACATCAGTAATAGGAACTATACTACCCGGCATGCCGGGAACAAGAAGTTGAGGACCGCGACGATCCAGGACGGGACTAGCTTCAACGACGACCAATTTTTTTTTTTCTTTTAATATTGCCGTAGCTTATTTTATTATAATAAACCAAGTTGACAACATTCAAATGAATGATCATATGAGATAAAATAAAGTACAGAGATATGATCGTTTGGGTTATTGAAGTGAGTGGTTATCGAGAGTCGTTAGGCCGTGTATTATTATGTTGCGTGTTTAATGCTGTTGGTAGTGCATTATACCAACTAGCATATAGTCGGTAGGTTAATAAATGTCAACATTTCTGTTAACTAGTTAGAAATGATACCTTTTTCCCTATGACGGGATTGGCAGGAATCGAACCCAGGACCTATTCGTCCGAGAAATAGAGCGTAACCACTTGGCTACAACCCCATCCTCCTTCAACGACGACCAAACTGGCGACGGCAATGGCGACGATAATAGCGACAACGGCAGAGAACTTCATGTTGACGTTGACATTTATTCTCTCTTTACCGTTATTGCTCGTCAACTCGTTTGACATTTATTCTCTCTTTACCGTTATTGCTCGTCAACTCGTTTGACATTTATTCTCTCTTTACCGTTATTGCTCGTCAACTCGTTTGACATTTATTCTCTCTTTACCGTTATTGCTCGTCAACTCGTTTGACATTTATTCTCTCTTTACCGTTATTGCTCGTCAACTCGTTTGACATTTATTCTCTCTTTACCGTTATTGCTCGTCAACTCGTTTGACATTTATTCTCTCTTTACCGTTATTGCTCGTCAACTCGTTTGACATTTATTCTCTCTTTACCGTTATTGCTCGTCAACTCGTTTGACATTTATTCTCTCTTTACCGTTATTGCTCGTCAACTCGTTTGACATTTATTCTCTCTTTACCGTTATTGCTCGTCAACTCGTTTGACATTTATTCTCTCTTTACCGTTATTGCTCGTCAACTCGTTTGACATTTATTCTCTCTTTACCGTTATTGCTCGTCAACTCGTTTGACATTTATTCTCTCTTTACCGTTATTGCTCGTCAACTCGTTTGACATTTATTCTCTCTTTACCGTTATTGCTCGTCAACTCGTTTGACATTTATTCTCTCTTTACCGTTATTGCTCGTCAACTCGTTTGACATTTATTCTCTCTTTACCGTTATTGCTCGTCAACTCGT